GCATTCTCGTGTGTCAAAATTTTTTTTGAAAGGCCTTTCCAATCATTCAACATTCCCGTAGTCCAAGCAGGGTAGAAAGAGGTACTGCTCCTATCCGCAAACAACCAGCAAGGATGACATTATACTCCATTTAAAGTCACTGAGGAGGATATCCAGAATCTTAAATAAAACACTTGTATTGGAAAACAGTGTTTTTTTATTTTGTAGCGTGAAATATTGAAAGAAAATATAATAGTATATAAAAGTATAAGTGGATAACAAGGTCTTTAAGACATGCGCGATTTTTCTCGAAATAGAGCAAGCAAGCAAGTGTATCTTCTGTTTTCTATTCTAAAGCAAATTTTTCAACTTACCGTTCCAACAACTGTCCAGATGATGTCCTTTTCTTATAATACACTTCACTAAATGATCGGTTTGAGTCGTCTTTTGCAAAACCACTTATAGGCCTTTCGGGCCTATACGGACCAAAATGCACAAGCTGCTTTTAAGAGAATATTGGGCCTGATTCGAGACTTGACTCAAAATCTGAATCTTCGTTTTCGAGAATATTTGCACCTTCAATGTCTGGTAGGATAGTTTCATCATCATACACTTCTGTTTTTGATGATGAGGTTGCGGATGTTGACGGCGTTTCAGAAGTTGATATAACTTTTTTTGAAAAAACGTATCAATTTTGGCAATCTTCTTCTTCTCCTCCTCCTTTTTTTCAACTAGTTTTCTTTTTTGAGCCCCATTCAGATATTTGCGCGAACTACTCATTTTAATATTTTAAATATCAACTCAAAACTCAAACGTAACAAGTAAAACAACAAAGACTCGCTAATAACCGAAAATTCCCATTAAAACGGGGAATCACTGAGGTTTAGACCAGCCAGGGTTGACAATTGTTTGGGCGTTCACATTTTTTATGTTCGAAAGAAATGGTGACAAATTAAATATTGATTTGAAATGTTTAAATGTGCATATTTGTAGTTTTGGAGTTTGTTTGATATACATAGGTATTACTTTTTCTTAGAGTACATTGGGGGCCCGGGGGCCTCCAATATACCGGGGGCCCCCCCTCATGGCGGGGTCTGCGGGGCCGTTTGACACGCGCCTGTGTCTACTATATACTCAAAAAATGAGTTTTAAGTTCTTATTTTCTTTGTAAGTGAAAATAAATCGTTTTAAATTCTTAACATAGTGGTTTATTATCATCTGTATCTACAATAGATTAATAATATCAGTATCATTAATACCATAAAATTATTATTAACATTTAAATTTAAAAATCGTTGTATTGACTTAAGGGTAATTATTTTGATTTAAATCACAATTTTTGATTCAAGTAATTTTATTGACTTAACTCTTAGATCACGATTTAAATAAAAAATATAGACTTGTCATAAAAACGACTTACTAAAGAAATTAAGTCATAAGATGACTTAAATCACTTTATATTGATTTAAGAATTTGCGAAAATGACTTAAGTCAAAGAATATGATTTAATTCAAAGCCTTAATACTTAAATCATTTGAACTTTATCTTGGAATTGACTTAAGATTTAAATCATTTTGATTTTAGAATTGACTTAAGACTTAAGATTTAAGTCTTTTTAAAACTGACTTGTTGCAGCTCTGTATTTATGTATTGTTTTTTGACGTGTTCAACACTGTAAACACTTCAATATTTTGAACTAATAAAATCTATTCTATTCTATTCTATAATATCACTTTTTAATGTAGGCTTACTTAAATTCTATAATGTGTTACAAAATATTTATTCTACTTATTTTATTGTAATCAGTGGATCAATCGGGTGGTTGCAAAACATTAATGTATGCTTTAGACAGGATAATCTAATTTAACTTCGTTAAAAATTGGTGCCGTTTGAAAAAGATTATAAAATGTGAAAAAAACCATTAAAAAAACCCTAAATAATCTGAAAACAGCTATTCCATACTATTCCTCAATTTTTGTAGAATCTGTAATAATAAAAAATTGTGAGTAAAAGCCACCGGTATTGAAAAACTGGACTTAAAAATTGTTTTTAGTTCAAGCAGCAACACACTTTAGACCCTTTTAAGCAACCCCAAAGATAAGATTCCTAAAATTGAAAAGTCGGGGATCTACGAAATAAACTGCCAAGATTGTGACAAGATGGTCCTAAACGGTCCATCCAAGTTAGGTTCAAAGAGCACAACCTTAAACTTATTAAGGAAGTTAGGGATCCAAGTCTGCTAGATAGTAATTAAAGTTTATACATCTATAAGAATAGAAATAAATATTTAAATAGCGATAACGGACCGGTACCCAACTCCAGTTTGTATCAATTAGTTTTTTAGTATCTCTTTACGTTTTCACTAAAGCGGTTACGGTCCACGGTTTGGTAAACTGTTGCCATTTAAGGTTCAGTCAACCTTAGCTTTTAAATTAGTTAAAGTTTTAATTGGTATAAATATGGTAAATTTAGCAGTTATATTTAGTTACACTTCGCTTCTGAAGATGCCAACATCGTTTGCGAAAAGTACTTTTTCGTGAATATATATGTTAAACATTATAAATTTCCTGCCTAAAAACTTGAATAATAAACTCATCAGTGATCGGCCGATTTCAATGGGGTTTTAAATGGGAAGAAGGCGACTACAATAACATTTAAAATTGATAAAAAGTACACCCAACAACACAACAAATCGTGCCACGGTTTTTTTTCGATATTTTTTAACATTTTCCGGCTTTATTCTCAAAAACTCTCGTTTGTAACACACGCGTTTGACAGCTGATTATCAAAAGTTGTTCTTTTGTTACGATGATAACAGCCGAGTGTTAAGGCTACCAGCGATACTTCTTTAGCGTTTATATTCGATTATCTACTATAGGTATATCTCCTGCAGAATGTCATTTATTTTATTGTAATATAGGTCGTTGCGGCCCGCCTGATGTAGCAGTCATACGTATTTGGCCCAAGAAAAAAAGTCTGAGTAAGGTTGATATAGACCAATCAGGTGAAGTTTTTACATCCTAGTTTGTAAAAACCGAAAATTTTAACTTTATGCTTATGCTGGTTTTATGTAATCCACCCTTAACATACATAGAATATACATTATTTAAAATTATTTTTAAGTGGTATGTGAAGCGTAGGCCACGTATAATCCTGTTGAAACATAGACTTAAATTTTTAATTTTTTTTAAATCTTATTATATTAGGGTGGCGAAATGTCAAAGTGTGACTTTTTTATGTACAATTGGCGTCCCCGAAATGTGAACGGCAAAATTTAATCGTGTAATATGGGCTTTGCATCAGTGTCGTCGGTAGTTGTCAAATTTATTAAAAGTCAATTGCAATATCGAAAATGCCACCCCACTTAACTGAGGCTGAGGGTCCAGGGCAATAGCCAAATTAGAAGAAAATTGGTCAGTAAAAGCTGCATATTTTATATCAAGCAACGTTGGCAAGAACAACATAGATTGAGAAGACCTATCAGGCAAGGTGTAGGTCAAATCTCCAACGAAAATGAAGACAATGCTCTTGTCGCACATATTAGGCAAAATCCTTTCAATAGCGCGGTTAAGGCCCGAGAAGATACACAATGTCCAGGATCTCTTCGAACAGCTCAAAAAAGATTGAAACAAGCTGGCTTAAAAAACTGTGCTACTGCTAATAAGGGTTTTTTTAACTGACGAAAATAAGCGCAGGAGAGTCCAGTTCACCAATGACTATCTAAATTACGAAGAGGAATTTTGAAATAATGTTAAATTTTCTGATGAAAAAACTTCCAATCTTGCAATAATGTAAGGCTGCGAGTATAACGTCCAAGAGACGCAACAATTGAGGAGAACTACACATTAAGAACTTTAAATAGTGGACGCTTTTCCATAAATTTTTGGACGTGGATAAGCGTCCATGGTGCGGGAATATGTTGGGAAATTGATGGTAGATTAACGGCTGAGCACTATACGACGATTTTGAACAACGTTATACTCTCTTCAGTTAGACATGTATTTCCAGAAAATTGTATATTCTAACATGTTAGAAAACTATACAAAAATAATTCTAATAAATATTATATTACACCAGTTCACACAGCTCGCGTGATTATAGAGTGGGTAAACAACAACCACATAACTGTTTTGCCATGGCCAGCTAGAAGTCCTTAAACCCCATTGAAAACGTGTGGGGTTTTAAAGTTAAAAAATTATATCAACGGGACTTTGGGCCAGCAAACCGAAATGAAGTACGGGATGCTGTTGAAAATTCTTGGGAAGACGTTACTGAGTCATACGACATGTGTAACCTAATAATGTCCATGCCAAAAAGTTCTGTGGCAGCTAATGGCTCTGCAATTAAGTATTAAAATAGCTTATGAGCAGCAGCACAGTTTTTTAAGCCAGCAAACCGAAATGAACTAAGGAATGCTATTAAACATTCTTGGGAAGAGCTTAAGACATTTAAATCTGCAGCTATTTTTCTTAAAGACCAATTTTCTTGAGCAATATGTTAATTTAGATATGTTATTTATATTTTTTATTTACCTACTTGTTAATATTCTTGTACAAAACGTTAATTTATTTGTAGTATTGTTTATATTATTGTTTTTTAAAATATTATTAAAAAAATAAGGATTTAGGATATTGTTCTTAGTATTCTTCCCTCTATTTGTTACACCACTTGCCGAAGCCAGGAATGAACGAATGAGTTTTATGAAAAAAATTCATGACAACCAAAAATCGTTCACATTTCGGGGAAGCCAATTGTACAATTGTGATTGTACAGCATATACATACAACCTTCTAAGCATACAACATACATATAAAACATAGGCTTGTATTCGGGGTTGTATACCTTCAGAATCATAGAAATCAATAAAGCTAGAAAATTAAATTTGGAATAAAATCTGCTAAAAATTGCAATTGTGGCCATTTAAGTTAATATTTTGAAAAAAAATTAGTATAAAGGTCCCTTTACCTCGATTTTTACAAGCTGTTTAAAGCAGTGTACTAAAAATTATCGGTTTGAAGCACATGTCATTGTACATGTTTGGAGGCTCGTCGTTAGCCGAGGTGACGTTCGGGAGGTTCCGCAAGGCGCCAAAACGTGCCCCCATACCATTATCAACAGACACACACAAAGTCGATGTTTATATCGACGTATTTGACAGTTCGGGTTCTGCCAACGTCGTAGAGGCCTCGTAAGTGTTTAGTTTTTTCGTGTTATGAATTAAAAGTATCACCAAAATGCAGTCTTACATTGTAGGAGGAATTGAGGGGTCAGTATTTAATTTAGACATCTTTTTATTAATCCAAATTTATTTTAATGGAAAAGTTTGGTTATTTTATTATAAATTGTATTTTATGAGAATATATCTTGCATTCTCTGAGTTACTAAATTAATTGGTAAATGCCAGCAAACTTTAATATTTCGAAATCATTAATTAATAAAAATTGGGTGAGTGTTACAAAATCTTCTCATTGCATAAAATAAAATTAAAAATTCTGCCTTAAAACTTGGTAGGTAATTGAATATCTAATATATGCATTTGTTATTGCTCACAATTAATGGTAGCGCATTCGCCAAAATTGACAATACAATATTTTTATTATTATCAACAAATACCTAAGTTGATTTCGTACCTACCAAATAGGGGTTGTTCTATAGTAATAATTTAAAATTATTAATGGTAATAAATCAAATTATGAATTTGATCCCCTTAGATTAATTACCAGTTTATTTTTAGAACATCAATAACTTATTTATTTTGAAAAATAATGTCAAGGAATAATTTACATAGCATATTACAAAATTTTTTAATTTAAGTTCCAAAACAAACCCAAACTAACCTACCTATTTTAATGATTTTTATGAGCGTTAAGTAAACATTAATATGAAATCTAAGTAATGCCAAGGTTATTATCACTAGGTGAGAGTAAAACTAGTCGAAGACAGTTTCTATATCAACTTTAAGTCCAATCAATGGCATTACCTAATTAGAAAAAATTATATAAACAAATAAACACAATTTTTTAATACAGGGCCATTTCAGGCATTCCTGATGGGACAAAACAAAAAGTTGTAGATGATTTATTGTAAAATATTTTGGAATCAAAATTGTCAAAAATATTCTTCTTTATTCTATACACTAAATAAAAAAACGCAAGAATATTTTATAAAAGTAGAGATAATTTTAATAATTGACGTGTGGACGGGGGACAAGAGATTTCTTTTTTTGTCCCTTCGATACCTTTTAATTATTAAAATTATCTCTACTTTTATAAAATATTTCTAGCTTTTTTTTATTTAATGTATAGCCTAATAAAATAAGAATATTTTTGGAGCTAAAAACGCCATATTTTTACAAAATACAAGCCCTGTCAGTTTTTAAGAGTAAATTAAAAAAAAAAACAGTTGTAATTCGTGCGTTTCGCGCGTCTGAAATGGCGCTACAGTGGTCATCTTACAACTAAAGGAATGTGTGAAAGATTTCTACATAAATAAAAGTGTTAAAATGTTTGTCCGGGCTAATCTCCGAAACGGCTAAATCGATTTTTATTGGCAGAGGGATTTTTAGAGAGCAATAAAGGCTATTTTTTATCGTAAAAAATATATATTAACATGGGTATGTTTTTTTGCTCTTTTCGTTTATAACTGTTTAAATTTTTCTATAAAAAAATATATTTTAAACGTTTAAAACCTGTTTTAAATACTTTTTGTGTACAAATGTTCCAATTTTACAAAAATCATATTTTTTTAATGTAACAATGAGATACCTAGTGGGTTTGAACATTTACGATAACTAAAACTAAACTAAGCAAAAAAATTAAATATTAATAGCATTGAGTTAAAATTTTTAAATAATCTGGAAGTTCAAAAAAATAATTATTAACAATGTTAAATTTGACAAAGTTGTTTTTATTGAATTCTAAAGTTTATTTAAAATAAATAGTTTTAAACTTATTACCCAGAAGAGAATGTGAATATTTATAAAAAAAAATAGTTTAATTGGGATCCATTACAATACAATATTTATCGGTAAAAAAAAACTCGAATTCAATGTTTGCATATCGAGGAAAACGTTTTTGCAATGCAACAAGAGCTAATCGATTGAGCAAAATTATGGTAATTTTTTAATGGACCCAAATAACCTACCCGAAAAATAGAAATTTTGTTTTATCAGCCAGTGTAGGTACCGATGAAATACTAATGAAATTGTTCAAAAAGTCAATACTAGAAAACTTGTTTGAGTAAATAAAAAACCCATTTTGAGTACTTTTTAAAGCTACTCAATTCTTAAATTAATTAAAATGATTATTTCAGCACCCTAACAACTTCCTTATTTATTGTTATTGTTAGTCTAAATATAGAGCAATTTTAATGTTAAATAGAGTAGACCTACACGACGTGTAGTACACGTGTATTGTCAAAATCGCTTTATTATAAGAGTGATTGGAATTCATAAAATGTCACTTTCGTTTTAATGATTTTGGCCATTATCAAGACTCGCGTCACTTTTACTTATTATCTGATCTTAATAATAATTGTCTGTGACGAAATATAGGAGATTTATTTATTAAAATAAATTACGTATTTTATAATAAAAAAAAACCTTGGCAATAGTTAAATTTTTGGTAGGGATTAAAGATATTTATTTTAAATTTTACTGTTTTACAAGGTATATTTAATATTGGTAAAAACAACACCTTTTTATCTTATCTATTGTTTATAAATCACTTGGGTACTAGTTATTTGGCACTTTATATGAAGTATCCTAATTTTGATTGTGGCAGTCTTTAATTACAAATTTGCCTTATACCAAATTATAATTTACACTAGAGTGTACTTAGTTTATGAAAAGGCTACTTACGTATAATATGTAATTAAGGGCAGGGTAGGGTTTTAAAATTTTCGGAAAAAATTAACCGAAGAAAAAAACGGTAATTTGGGAAATTTTCAGAAAAATTTACTTTTGCATTTATTCCGTTTTATACAAAAAAATGCAAAAGTAAATTTTTTTAAACGGATGATATCCGTACATCGAGAAAAGTGAATTATACAGGGTTTCTATTTAAAAAAGAGCAATGCTCTACAAGCCCTCTTTGTGATACCTCATCGGAAAGCTTTTGGAAATTGCTATTTAACAATACTAAACAAAATACTTTTTAATAGTTTAATATTTGAAAAATACGCAAAATAATTTGTATAATTATTTATTACAATTTCTCGTTATAAATATCAAATTAAACCATTTTGTTGTGGTAAAAACATTAGTAAAAAACTGTGGAGCACAAAATAATTTTAAGCTTTTTAAATTAAATGCTCAAAATGACTCCCACTATTTGTTGTCGCAGATCTTCAATAGTATGAGGCTGAGTTTTGTAGACCACAAATTTTAAGCTCCAAGGGTTTTATTATGGCATCTGAAGACTGCACACAAAATCAGCGGTTCTCAAAATATTTGAAAAAAACTGAAAATTGGTGAAAACTTATTATCGCTATAACTTTTTTATTTATAGGAATTTTGAAAAACTGAAAGGTTTACACGAGAACATACACAATTACATACATTTTGATCCAATTTGTGTATTTTTACGCCTACGATTCTGAGATACAGCATGAAAATAATGAAACAATATTAAAGATTTTAAACACACATGGTACTTTAGCCAAAAATAATCCTTTAGCCATTAAAATCAATTTCGTATTATTGAGACACTAACTATCAAGTTGCCATGAAAACAAACAATCCAATTGTCCAGGTCCAAATGACGTTTATGCTTGTCAACTTGATAATTTCAATCAAAATTTCCTTATAGTGCATGAAAATAAAGTACACTAATGAAGAAAAAGTCTATATGCTTTTTGTTTATACATTTCGAAATGCAAGAAATGCTGCTGAAACATACCTACGCTAACTTGTATCCCGAAAAACAGGTTCCTGACACTAAAATATTTGCACGCTTAGAAAAAAATTTGCGCGAACTGGGAATAATTGAAAAGCCAAAAAAAATCAACTGTAACAGAAGAAAGAGGTGAAGAGGAAACTGATGTCTTGGGTGATATTTTATAAATAAAATAAATGAATTTTAAAATTTACGTTGTGATATTTATTTTAGGCTACGTGCATTTTTAAAATGTGAATCAAAATGAGGTTTCTCTGAGGGAAATCGAAAAAGAAATAGGTGTCAAAAAAATGTCGGCAAGAAAAATTTTAAAGACACAAGTACATACATTATCGCTACAGGAAAGTACAAAGTTTAAGGCCCTTGGATTATAATAAAATTAACATTTTTTGTCGGTGGTTATTGAGAAAAAAGCGACAGGATGAAAACATTCTAAAAAAAATTCTGAGGAGCGACGAAAGGTTTAACATGTTCTGCAGAAACATCCACTATCGCTGGACCCAAGAAAATGAACATTTGCACCGAGAAACTGCATTTCAGGAGAGGTTCGGTATAAATGATTGGCTCGGAGTATTGGATTCCAGTGTAGTGAAAGATATCCAAATGGATATACTAAAAAATACTCTACGAGACCTTTTGGATGACCTTCCCCTATAAGTGTCTTAAACTATTTTAAATATTTCTAACGGGATGGTGCACCAGCACATTAAGATAGAATAGAATTTTTAACTACGTTTAAACCAAATGATAATAATGGACCCATAAATTGGCCGGCCAGGTCTCCAGACCTAGCCCCCTATAGATTTTTCCATATGGGGAATTATTAAACTTAATGTTTATAAGACGACGCCCCGTGATGTAAATGATTTGAAACTTAAAATTAGGCGTTAGATAAAATTACTCCGACCGTTTAAAAAATATTCAAAAAAATTTGACCATAAGAGCACTCAGAAGTGTATTAAACAACAAACACTTTTTGTAGTAAATTTGTTGTTTTGTCTTTTATTATTTACTACCCTGTTGATATTTATATTTTTATAGTTGTTGTTTATTGTTTTATTGTTTCTTTTTATGTCAACCTGACAGTTAGTGTGTTAAAAATAAAAAGTTGATTTTAATGGAATTAATTGTTTTAATTTTTTTTAATTTTTTCATCCAAAAATCCAACAGGGCGGTCATAGGAAAACAAAAAATAGTGGCCGCATCTCAAAATCTAGTTGGCGTAAAAATACACAAATAAAGGTAATTGTGTATGTTTTAATGTAAACCTTTCAGTTTTTTGAAATTTCTATAAATAAAAAAGTTATAACGATAATTAGTTTTAACTGATTTTCAGTCGAGAACCTCTGATACTTTGCCATATTAAAATGCATGTAATTACGCAACTTTTGAACTCTTAATGCCCTATTCCAATTATAACCGTGTCCGAGATAGCAATGCTGTCCTATCACATTTTGGACACCCTGTATTATACAGGCTGTATAAGAAAAACAATATACAATAAATTTAAAAATATTAAATAAATTTTCTCACGATTATAATAGTTTTATACTTTTTCCCATATATGTATACTAGGGTGTCCCTTATTTTTATTTTTTTTACGCATACCCTCTAATTATATTTATTACTTGTTTATATACTCCCAGTAAAAATTTCAGCTCATTCTATAAACGGGAACCCGTGCCGACTTGAATCTAAACCCTCCGTTAGCCAACGTTAGGCGCGCGCGGTATTTTGTAACACGAAACACTTTAAAAAGAAGATATACTTCATGACTGTATTTTTCTAATGATTTTATTAAATTTGATTACTAATTAATATTATTGCTTTTGTTTCTATCATTTGTTTCACTAATTTAGTTGATTTTATCCCTTAAATATATTAATATACTAATTAGTATTGCTAAAATATACTGTTAGGTATATGCAATTTCAGCTTTTTATAAGCATTTCTTTTCTTGATGTCCTTCCAAAAATATTTCAGACAGTTCAATAAGTTTTCGGTAGTCATCTCTCACAATAGACTCTTTTAGTTATTTAGAGTAAAACCCATTAGGTTTATCAATTTCAGAGTTTACGGCCTATTCACCAGACCCTTTCGGGTAACTAGCCACTCCCTGAGAAATTATACATTTTTATCAAAGTATACACATAAATAAAACTATATTTTAACATTTGTCAATAATTTATAATATAAGGGTCACATAATAACAAACACAAAATGACTTACGATCGAAGACCTCGCGACCAACCGTGTTACAAAATACCGCGCGCCTAACGTTGGCTAACGGAGGGTTCAGATGCAAGTCGGCACGGGTTCCCGTTTATAGAATGAGCTGAAATTTTTACTAGGAGTATATAAACACGTAATAAATATAATTAGAGGGAATGCGTAAAAAAAAATAAAAATAAGGGACACCCTAATGTATACATATGGGTGATTCTAGAAAAGTTCGACAACTTGATGTCATCAGTCAATATATATATATATAGAGTAGGTATATTAATATTTTTTGTAAACATTTTAGTATATTACAAATGATCCAGGTTTTTTTAACTTATCCACCCAATTTTAAAGTATTTTTTCAAAAGCACGTTTGTAGAAAACATAATAAAGATTCAAAACAACAGTACCTTGGCGTGTCACAACTCCTGAATCAAATATTTGAGTGATTTTATTTTAAAATATATTCAATTTATTTTAAATTTTTCAATTTCACTACAAACTATAAAACATTGAATGTATTTTTCATATTTTATCATAGATTCGAATAATAGCAATTTTTAAAAAATTGATAAATATTGTACTCACTTTTACCCGTCAGTTCTGTGTCCAATGTTAAAATTCAAAATTCCTGCGAAATATTGAAGTTTAAACGTCCTCGTTTTAACTCAAGTGTTGGTAAAAAAATTACCTACAGAGCCCGCCCTTTGCATGACGGTCATATTAAAAACAATGCAAGCGGCGAAGTTGTGCTGAATGCACGTATAGTTCCAGTCAAAATTTCAGTACTGTGGTGAGTAGTTATTTTCTTACGTATATATATTTTATTGTAATTTATTTATTTATGTGATTTGTTGATAAGTAGCATCCACTAATAAAAAATATCAGTAAAATACTTAATAAGTAGCATCCACTAATAAAAAATATCAGTAAAATACTTAATTCCGAATTATAATCTCAAATTTGTATCCTAATCATCAGTACCGTGTCGTTAGTTCCATGTTCGATGTTTCGGTTATCTTTTCTTCTTCTGCTTGCGCAGAACTTGTTTATTTAATGTCATTATAAACTCATATAAATTTGGTGTGGGTCCCATATCTAATAATTGAGATTATCTCAATTATCAATGATATATCGGTATACCCAAAATCCACCAGCCGCCACTGATGTGTGGTATTATTTGATATTTAATTTATAATATGCTCAAAGTTGCAATAAATCTTATATTTTCCAATAAAATATGTATTTAATTAATACTCGTCACTTCCCTTGCATTCAAATTTAGAAAACACAGATATTTCAGAAACTGTTTGAAAAAGTTACTGGCCCGGTCTGGAACAGTATATTTATTATATTATCTATGTTCTCATAACAAAATACTGTTTAATTTTCTCCGAAAACTATATGAATAAAATGAGGTCAAAAGTTGCCCAACTTTTGTAGAATCACCCATATGTATTTTTTACAAGATACATACCTACAGGGTGTTTCTGTTTTTGTCGCCTAACTTAAGTTAAATTTAACACCTGGTGATAATATGCATCTAAGAATAGAAATAAATCTTTAAAATTTAATAGCAATAACAGACCGTTACCCAACTGTTATAATTTTTCACAAAAATTTTTTTAAGGCCTTGGTTGTATTTATATGATATTACCGTTGAGTAAAGAAGTACACACATGTGTAAGGTGCACCTTAATCAATGATATTACAGTGGTCTTTGGCATACTTATATAAACCAGGTACACTAATTTGATATCATTTAGATTTTTATTTATATATATATATATATATATATATATATATATATATATATATATATATATATATATATATATAGACAAGGCAAAAAAAAGTGAAAAGTAAAAAAATACCATGTTAAATATTAATATTAAAAACTTTTTGGTCTTATATATGTTTTTTAGTTTATGAACTAAAAATTTGGGGAGCGCTGTCAAAAAATCAACTTGGTATATAACGGACACTCTAATGTATAGGTACTTTTATAAATACCAAAAAATTGTTATATTTCAAAAAATTTTAAAACTTCAGTAATTTTAAAAAATTTAAAAATTTTAAACTTTACTTAATGAGTATGACTGGTGGTCATTGACCACGTGATATTTCATACCATAGGATGCGGAAAAAAATTCAATAATCAGCACAGTGTAATTATAATTTAACATTAACAATAAAGAATATTAAGGTATTTTTTAAACAATAGTTTCTGCGTGACATGATTAATTAACTAAACTACTTATATTTTTTTCAAACTGTTTTTTTTTATTTCAGAGGAGCAACTCACTCAAACGCCGTTTTATTAAATAGTTCGGGTCAAATTATTGGTAAATCGATAGGACCGAGCACAAATCACTATTGCATTGGGATGTCAGAATGCCGGAAGCGGATTGACGATATGATTAATGACGCCAAAAAGGAAGCCGGTCTTTCTTTGGATACACCCATTGACGCACTGGTAAGAACTAAGTCACAAAAAATACTTTATATAATAGTTTAAAAAGTAAATAGGTACATAGTCAGGCAATAGATCATCCAGATTTTTATTTAAAAAGTAGCGAGAAACTTGCCGAGCCCTATGATTTAAAAAACCTAAAATATTTTACTTAAGAACTCTGTATACTTCATTTTTAATTTAAATGTAACATAAATTTCATGCACCATGTTAATTAATTCCATTGTTTATTTTTATACGTAGGTAGTGTTTAAATAAACCAAACAAAACAAATATTTGAACATTTGTTTGTCTAAAAGATAATTGGAAATAATACTATGTTTATTTAAATTAACATTCAACAACAATTTTGTATTTTTTGAATAATATTTAGATATAATTTTATAAAATCAAAAATTTAACAATTTAGACATATTTTTAACTACTGTTACCTATTTATTTATTTGGTTTCAGTACGAGTATATTTTTATTTAGTTTATTTGGTTTTCCCTTGGATGACACCAACTTTCTTATTTTTAATAGAACACCCTGTATTTTTTGCATTTTTTGATTCTACACACATTTTAAATTATATTTTGTAAATATGTTAATTGAGATAATGTTTATACTTTTTAAGTAAATTCGCTAAAACTTAAAAATGAATACCTAAACTTAATAATTATTATTGTTTATCTTATATAGTATCGTTTCTTTATTATTAACTAATATGCAAGTAGATTATATATTAAAATACTGGATGTTTTTTATAAGGCGTGAAACTTGAAAGTTAAAAATGTTTTTTTTTTCAATGGAACATCCTATATATTTTATAATAAAATAAGTGACCTTTTTATAATACATATAATACATATATGTTATATATAGGTATGCCCTATATCTACACCTGACAGTAAACGAAAAATTTTTGCAAATGGAAGCTTTACAAGAAAAAAAGTGTTAATTAGTAAAATAATATTTTAATTTTATTTGAATATAAACATAATAACTATATTGTATTAGTCTTAATTAAAGGTAGTTTTTGGATATAAAAAAATCCAAGTATTAATTTTACGCGAAGGATTTTTAAGAAGGTACTGTTTTACCTGTTTTTAAATTAATATTAATATTGATAATAATAATAATAATAATAATAATAATAATAATAATAATAATAATAATAATAATAATAATAATAATAATAATAATAATAATAATAATAATAAACATGATATAAACATTTTCGTAGTAAATATATTTACAAAGTATAGTTTAAAAATTGTGTAGAATCAAAAAATTCAAAAAAATACGAGTTGATTGATAAAAAAATAAATAAAAATATAATATTTAAATATTTTTATTTATGTCATAAAATTTGTCCACAAATTTTTTGTAACTCCAGTAGTTTCTTACGTGAACTTTTTATACATAAATGTACATATGTATGTTTCATAAGAGTCGTAAAACTATTTCTTCAAAAACTAAATATATATGTGTGAACAAATTACTTACCCACATATCTTATCGCTTATATCGTTTATTTTAATTATTGCAAATTTATAATCCAGACTATTGTTTTAATCCATATCTTTGTTACCAAGAAATAGTTTTAATTTTATAATATTAATTTTAGTGGAGCATGAATTGATAATTATTTTCCGCTATTATTTCAAAAATCAATTAAAATTGTAAATGACAACCATGCATATAAAGTAGAACAAAATAAATAAAAGAATGCATGCTGGTATGTAAATTAATAAGAAATGATACACTGGCACAGTTTTTGACGAAGAGTTCATTTTGATAAACAGGTCGACTATTACGCAAGAACCTAATTGATTATAATAATTATTAATTTTATTAACTTATTTTAATTAGGCCTTCCATACAATTCTATGGGCCTTAAGGCAGTAGCAAGAAAAAAGTTTCAGGGGTTAATAAAAAGAAGGACACAACATAATACAGATTCAGTATACGATACCTAATAAGGTAAAAAGAATTAAAATTTACCATTCAGGGAGCTACAGTGCCAAATTTAGTCTACAGGACCAAACTTACTCTCCTGCCTTTCTTTGCTGCAAATATATTAATAACCCAAGATAGTACCTTGACCCGTAGAATTTCTAAAGTATACAGTGTGACCCATTTGTTTGCGACTCACCCCTGTAAAATCTTTATTTATTGTGCGATTTTAACCGGATTTGTTTTATAGAGTAGATCTTGATAAGCTGTATTTGTACAAAACACAAGGCCTACTATGTCAGTTTTTAAGAGAACATTTTTAAGAATTCATATTAGCGATTTCTTTAAACAAAATCTAAGCACGGCACTGGATTCACCACCCATCAAAACGACCCTATACTAAATTTTATAATAACTGCAAAAATTTATTCTGTCAAGTTATCCATGAAAAAAACATTAAAATGGAATTAAAATCATAGTAATAGTACCGTGTTACAATTGGTTTAATTTTATTTCAATGTTTTTTTCATGGATAACTTGACAGAATAAATTTTTGTAATTTTTCAATAAAATTAAGTATAGGGTCGTTTTGAGGGGTGGTGAATCCAGTGCTGTGCTTAGATTTTGTTTAAAAAAATCGCTAATATGAATTCTTAAAAATTTACTCTTAAAAACTGACATAGTAGGCCTTGTATTTTGTAAAAAATATGGCGTTTTTTGCTCCAAAAATAAAGTTTATCAAGATCTACACTTTAATCCGGTTAAAATAAAGCAATAAATAAAGATTTTACAGGGGTGAGTCGCAAACAAATGAGTCACACTGTATATACATTCTTAAATTTAATTAAATTAAATTTGGCTACGGCCTTGCTCCCATAAAAGTATATTATGTATCAAGTTTTGATATACGCTATTTCAATCACGAATTTTAATTAGGCACGAGCGAGCTTGCGAACAAGTGTTTAATAAAATAAGTTGCATGCTATACTTTTTCTACGACAAACGTTATTAGGTATAAAATAATGTATTATTAATTAATTTAAATATTTGTATAGAGCGACATCTATACAAAAATGAAGTAACCTGTAAATAGGTTTTACTGGCTTTTCAAATAGCCATGTTAGTTGTCAAATTTTTTCTAAATTTATCTCTTAAATTGGACTAACAATCGTTTAAATCCGATAAAGAAGCGGATGTGTTATAAGTACCTAGTCTACCCGAAATGTTTAATGTTTAATGCTTTATCAGCAGTACACGGAAAAAAATCTATACTGATTCCAAAAAAATTCAACTCTATCCAAGTATAGCTTAGTTTCCCTATTCCGCAAGTAAATTTATACTTGTTTCAAGTATCCTCATATTCTTATAAAATAAAGATAGCTTCGGTTTAATCTAAGATTACTACTATACTAAAAATAAGAAACACACTAATTTTGAGTTAAGTATACAAATTTGTCTTCAATGAAGACTACGGTATTCTTGTTGTAACGTTAGTATGTACTTCATCAAAGTATAGTTTCTTTGTGAAATCTTTTCAGTATTCTTGTTTTAAGAATATACTTTCTTTAAAATTTATTTATTTATACTTATTGTAAGTACACGCTTTACTTGCATAAAATGCTTGTATTCTTACTTTTCCTTTTTTTATATTTGATAAAAGTATAGTATATATTTAAAATAACTTTACACTATTCTTAAAGAAAGTGGTTGATTAGAAAAAAAAAATTCCTCGTCTAGCGACTCGGAATAATTTTTACAAAAAAAACATTCGTGACCCTGAAAAATATTTGTATTAATTATCCTACCACTACGGAAAATACAAGTAAAAGTGAAAATATAATCGTTATGACAGTAAGTATAATAGGCACTGATATCACAATAGGTTTATTACCTAACAGTCTTAGAGGTATTAGAAAAAATACTGTCAATTTATATAAATTCATTCTTTCACGGTTAATTAACATAGATACTATATTTTACATTTTATTTTTTTTAGGTATCACATTTTTGGTGCTTTATGTAAAGGTAAGGTTTTTAATCACAATAGTTATTATTTTTTTAAGTAGGTATTTTTATTGTCAGTAAAATTTATCTCCAGCTAAATAATATGTAAAATAAGTCTTTAAGAAGGCTACCATTATCATCGTAGATGGATTGGTGTTAATTCTTCCATTTTTTTCTCTACACTTGATCCTCAATCCTATTTTTGGAATTAATTCCTTTAAATTCTCCTCGCTTAGGTTTACCATAATATCGAGATCTATCTCGTTTTCTAAAACAAAAATAATATAGCTGAATTGGAGGCTATAGCATCTAACGTTTTACATAAATTTCTGCTGTTTATGTGCTATTGTCTATTACCTGTCGTATGCTATTCATTTTACACTTCAATATACCTATCCATTTTACACTACATTTTTACGATCATGTCTAGTTAATTACTTAAAATTAATGAAATATTATTTACTTACCCAAAAATGTGTCTAGTAAACATTCTAAGTCCCAATTTTTAAGTTTCTCCTCCATTATTTTTTTTAAAAATAACATCCAGACCGAAAAAGGAAAAAACGAACTGCCGGCGCCGACCACAGAACACATATTTCTGTGGCGCCGACACGTACACACGCTACCACACGGCGTTCTCTATCTATTAGAGAACGCCGTAGCTACCACCATAGAACACAGGAGTCCTGCAGGACATGTGACAGGACAGAACTGGACACAGAAACTGCGTCTTTTCTTTTAGCGAAGCGGTCTTAGAGGGTGGACGGTATTTACTTAAGCGAAGAATTAGGTATTTGTTTTAATAATAGCTATACTTAAATACAGTATAGTGTATTCTTTGTTCTAGAGGTCTTATACTTAAATTGAAGTATAAGCGTTCTTATATTAAATAAACATATATTTAAATAAAGTATACCAAAATTTCATACAAATATACAGAATACTTAAAATAAGTGGCAATATTCCGCTTTGAGTAAAAAACTAGAGCTCTTTCATCTAAGCATTATTGTATATTTGATTTAAGTATACCAATTTTCTTTAAAATAAAATACCTTTAAACTCAATCCAAGAATACTCATCTTAAATCAAGTAACCGTTTTTCTTAAAAATTAAGTATATCCCATTACTTAGTTTAAATGTACGCTAATCTCATAGAAATAATAAATATACTTAAATCAAGTTCCTAACATGAAGTATAGAACTATTCTTAAACCTAGTAAGGGATTTTTTTCCGTGTATTGCCGGCGAAATCAAAAGATCAGTACAAACGTGCATATAAACCTTTCAAAGATTGGCGTGAAATTTTTTTTTTATTTTTTACTCCTATTACGGCATACGACCGTTCCAATATTAATTTTTAACGTGGAATTACATATATTCCTTAAAGTGTTACAAAATGAATTAATTCTATCACCGGATGACGGAATAAACACTGGTGGCGACATCTCTGTGTTTATAATCTAACATCTTTTCGACCGACCCAATCTAACTTTCGCCCAATTAAATTATTTTTCCATGGTATTTTTTGGAAACTTAGAAAAAGTATAGCCTGAAACACATTTGGAATTGCATATTCCTCTCTCGGGAAACCGTCAAACTCGCCTTTGGCTCGTGAGACAAACTTTTCACTCGAGCCGAATATTTCACTAAAAGAGCAGTTTATTCTAACGATTGTATTGCATTTGATAACTGTCAAATAACTTGGACTGTGAATAAAACTTGTTACTAACTTCAGGCCGTTACTAAAAAGCCATAAAGTCACAGCTTCTCAAGGTGTATTTAAAAGATTACTTAGTATCATGGAAACATGTACGATGACGTTTTAAAGGTGGGAGTAGAATTTTTTTATTTTTATTGACAGCAAATCTGGTCTCAATTAAAGAGTCTCTAACACCACAGTTGGGTGATTAATTTGTATTAGGATATCTTCTTAGTTATTATTTTATTATATTATCCTTTATGATTCCTTTTCATTCCATATGCATTTTAAAATGTTTACTACATTTACAAAACATGGTTTATCAGTTTATATTATATTGAAGTTTATTTTTTTAGTAGAAAATAGAATGTTTGGTTTATACTAAAAATAGGTACTTTTTGTAAGCAAAAAAAAAGGAAATAAATTTAAATTTGTTTAAAAATTGTTAAATTTGAAAATAAAAGATTTTAGTTTGTTTATATTTGTGAATGGCTATTTAAATTAATAATGGACGTATGCACAAAATTTTTAGCAGTAGGGAATTTATTTGTACAATTATTTGGTACAAAAAGAAATTCTAATGAAAAGAAAAAAATAAGCTTTAAATTGAAGGGGGAAAAGCTGTTTTGAAATAATAAGCGATTTTGACCAAACTTGGAACAGTTGTATATACAAGAAATTTGTACCTACTGTATTCCAATATTTATTAAATTGAGTGAAACGTTTTATATACAGTATATAGAGCGTTAATACGGCCCATATTAACTGGTTTAGTAATTAGCTTATAAATTCCACGAATAATAATATTATATTACATTTTTATGCTGTACATTATGGCCTCCTTTATTTTTGGATATCTTTAAAAACTTAGTTTTGTCAAAAAATAAATACCAATATTTTTTTCAAAAAAGAGCATTTTTATTATTTTTTTGGTTAGTTTTAAGATAAGAGTATACCAAGTCGATTTCCACATGCATGGCCTAGAAAGGGATGAAATAAGCTATGACCTCCACAGAGGTCAAAGTGTGGTCGTGATAAGACACGTACTTGACGTATTTGGCTTGTGTTGAGTACGGGAATATTTTCTATTCGTTTTTTAATATTTTGTTTGTTTTTAGGTTAATTAACCTAAATGAGCTTCAAATAAACCAAATGGGAATACATAGACCACTACACCTTAGTCCAGATCATTCTGTAGCACTACACATGTATTACGCTTCTTTTACCATATGAAAATATCTTAAATTTATATCTTTAATTATAATTTATAATTTGACATACTTTAAATTTTATCTTCACAATGACTCATTGTCAATGAGTAAATTACTGATTTTATTTTTATAGGGTCTAAGTTTAAGCGGCTGTGAACAAGAAGCATCCAATAAGGAAATTGTCAACGGCCTCTTCGAAAAATATCCAAACCTAAGTAGAAAATATGTGATAGCCAGCGACACAGACGGATCTGTAGCTGCCATTTCAAATAAAGGTGGTGTGGTGTGCATAGCTGGAACCGGATCCAACACGGTTTTGATCAATCCTGATGGCAACAAAGTACAATGTGGAGGATGGGGACATATTTTGGGGGATGAAGGAAGCGGTAAGAAGATAATTATCCTAGAAATATTTCTTCAACCTATTTTCATCACATTTAGGTATATTCAAACAAAGGACTATGCTCCACACACAGAAGTCTTACTTTGACATACAATACAAATAATTTTGGTTATCTTTCTGTCAGTATAACGCTAATTTCGTCTTATTTTCCGAAAATAATACAATATACGAGGTCTGTTAAGAAAATAACGGGAAATTTCGTTTTTTGAAAAAAGTATTTATTTATTCCTCTTCATTAAAGTTGTCGCCTTCAAAATGGTCCCCATTAGATATTATGCACTTGTGCCAGTGCTTCTTCTAATCCTCTAAAATCTTCTGAAACACGATCTTTGGGATAGTCTTTAGTTCTTTCAGCGATGCCCTTTAATGTCATTTATGCTTGCAAAACGACGGCCCTTTAAGGTTCTCTTTATTTTGGGGAATAGGAAAAATTCAGACGGAGCCATGTCTGGCGAATATGTAGGCTGTGGCATCATTACAGTATTGTTTTTGGCAAAAATTGTGTTTAAAATTCAACAATTTTGGAACAAATTATGCTGCCACGCGGTGCATACCCAAAACATTCAAAAAAATTTCATCGATATGCTAACATCATCAGCGACTTCTCTGATTGTGATTCGGTGATCGTTCATAACCATTTCTTCCATGTTTTTATCCGTTGTTAATGTGCTTGGGCGTCCGGGGCGTTCGTCATCTTCAACGTCTTTTCGGCCATCTTGAAAACTCATATATCACTTATAAACTTTTATTTTACTCATAGCAGACTCACCATAGGCCTTTCTTAACATTTCACACACTTTATTTCATTTTTTACCCAAAATTTGATACAAATTCTTTGATCCGCCGAGCTCATAAAAACACGTCTAACCTTAGCCGCTGCCACAGACAAAGTAAACAATGAAAACCTTTAAAATGTTTATCATTCTTCAGGGGTATGTATACCAACATAATAAAGACAATTTTATGACAACCGGACTCTCCAAACCCGCGAAATTTAAAAATCCCGTTTTTAACCTCAATTAAGTTTATTTAAATTTCAATGTGAGCTATGGATCATAATACATTTAGGCAGAAATCCAATTTTTCTATCTTCACTAATAATATTTTAAAGAACAAATTTTAAAATTAAGATATAAAAACAATAAGTTTATGAAAACTTTGTGATATACAATTTATTAAGGTCCATGCAAATTTTTATTTTACAGTTTTATTCAACAGAAAAAAATTATTTCCAGGAATCCTGTGTGAGCACAATCTGTTTCGCATTTAGGCAAAACGTATCACGTATTAATCATAGGGCAAAAATCGTCCGGATTGTCCTCACGAGTTTGGGTTTCTAAATCAGTTTGTTAAATGTGTAGTTTAAAAGTTAAAAAGTCAAAGGATATGAGGGATATTACGAAAACTTATTAAATTAAACTTTTTGTTTTTCCATTATTAAATCTAAAGAAATTAAATACAAAATTTTTCAATAATAAATAATTTTGCATTTATTTTTTTATCTAGAAATTACCAAAATTAAAAATTATTATTCACTAAATCGCCGATTCGGGTTTTGTCCCTCGTGAGGTGCGGTTGGCTTAATGAAATAGCGAGGTATTTTGTGATTAATACAATGGATTGAGTGGATGGTTATTGAAAAACTCATATGTCCGTGGGTGGATTGCTTGGAACTGGTCAGTAAGAGCTTTTTTTTAGCTCAAGTCCATAGAGACTTTCTCTATGCTCAAGTCCAATTTTCTCGAAAAGGAGAATCAAATTTTAAGAAGAAGAAGAAATCGCCACAAGTTTTTTCTATTAATAAATGACTTATCATAAGTCACTTATGTTTAATTTTGCGGTGTTTTATCTAAACTAACTATATTTGAAACTTAAATGAAATTTAATTAAAACGTAATTTATCTCAATGGCAGTATTAAATAATATAATAAATAGTCAATTGCCTATTTGAATATACGCACGCAACTACGCTATTGGGCCAATTAATTTTCGAGTTTTATTAATAGATATCACATCTACTAATATATTTATCACATGACAAATTAATTTTAATGATTTATGGTTACTTTTTAACTGATTTTACTTTTATTTTGAATTATTTCTAAAATAAGTTCTTATTTTAGCGTGGAAAATAGCTCACACAGCCATTAAATATTGTTTCGACCAGCTGGACAACTTTTCCACGAGTCCACATCCCATAGATCGGATATGGGACGAAACCAAAGCCTACTTCCAAATGGAGACTCAAGCGGACCTTCTGAACGCTTTCTACCTGAACTTTGACAAAGCGATGATCGCGAAACTGTGCAAAAGAATATCGGAGTTGGCAGACGAGGGTGACGAACTGTCCAAAAAGATTTTTAGGGACGCCGGGCGCGATTTGGCTAAAATGATTTCAGCCGTCATCGGTAAAGCTTCAAACGAGTTGACTGAAAGGGAAGGTGGCATCCAGATACTCTGCGTTGGTTCGGTTTGGTTGAGTTGGAAATTGCTGAAACCTGGGTTTATTGGATATTTAAATGACAACACAAGTGTGACAGAGTTGACTTTGGGAAAGTTGACGACTTCTTCAGCTGTTGGAGCAGCTTTGATGGCTTCAGACAAGTTGAACATCCCTATTAATAGGGATTATTCCAAGAATTATGAGGTATTCTATATATACCAAAAGGCGGAAAAATAAGTTTTTATTTTTATTATTATTCATGTAAGTGTTGATGTAAATATTTTAATACATTTTTAAATTTTATTAACTGAGCTGCCAAAAAATCTATAAAATATGTTAAATCATATACCTAAGAGGCCTAAATAGTTGTCTACTTATTAAATTATTATTAATAAATGAGATTTTTAAGTTAAATTCAATATTATTTGTTGAATTTTATGCATGTTTTTTCTTTGTTTAGATTACATTAATTTTATACAAATTTAGAGTTTAGAAATTATAGCAAAATGTATATTTGCCATCCTGGCTTAAGTTCCTATAATTTTCTGTAAAAATCCTATTTTTATAAAATATATTTTATTTTTGCATTCATTTGTTTTATTCTAATACAACTTATTAAGTTTATAATATTGCCGGGATTATTTTTTTTTAAATTTTGTAATTTTTTCTTCGTTAATCTTGTTAAATACACGTTTATAAAGCTTCTTGTATAAGTAAAATATTTTTTAATTTTTTTTTCATGGAATTACGGACCGAGTCATATACAGTGCTTGCAAATCCAAGTCCGACCGGTTTGGGAAGGACGCATGAAAATAACAAGGATAGAACGCCAAACAGAAGGCAAATACAATACGCACGCCTGACGCTCTGACCAATCAAATTATGTTTGGCATTCTATCCTTATTCTTTTCACGCGGGTATTGAACAACCATCCTTCCCAACGCGGTCGGACTTGGATTTGCAAGCACTGTATGGCACGCTAGGCATATATGACCATATTTCAACATACCTTATTAAGAATTTAGAAATTATAGCAAAATGTATATTTGCCATCCTGGCTTAAGTTCCTATAATTTTCTGTAAAAATCCTATTTTTTTAAAATATATTTTATTATTAAAAATACTTTAAACAATGTCTAGAACAAATACACAATTTATTGTCACAAGAGAACAAATTTTGCCGGAAAAATTTTCGACTGGTATGAAAGTTTGTTGCTCGACTGACGACTCGGGATTTTGTCAAAATTTCATTCTCGAAAATTGCCAAAAAGCAACAAACTTGAATGAAACCAAAAGAAAAATGTTCTCTCGAGTGATATTCGACAAGACTATTTCACGAGAAAAAACAAGACAATTAATGCACAATATTAACTTAATTAATTTATTTGTTAATATTAAATGTACAATTATTATATGTTATGGTAGTTTGCCCATTCTTTTCTACCAAAGCACGATTTTGTGTATTATTGACCTGTAGCATGTGGGAACTCGAAGGTCCAGCTTCATTTGTTGTTTGGAGATTTTCGATCAACTTCTGGTGGTGACTAGAATCCAGCTGCAGGTATGGTTTTAGGGAGCTTGCATTTGAGTGACCCGTTAATTTAATTAACTCCTGTTCAGCAGCACCTTGCTTAAACAAGGCTGACACAGCTGAAGATCGATGCGAATGGTTTGTTATTTTATGTTTTTTTGTGTCTATTCCAATTTTTTTAGCTGACATCTTTGTCCACTTAGATACGATGTTGATTCCAAGTGGACAGTTTTTGAACCAAGATCCATTCTTCCAGTTGGGGTTAACGGTAAGAAAAAGTCTGTCTGATAAAATATTTGGTCCTCTTTTTTCCATTAATTTCAGGAATAATCTAACTGGGCATAAATCTTCGTTTGATAAATTTCTTACCAACCATTTGCTGCTTGCCAAACTTTTAGACCCGCCTTGAGTTGTTTTCGAAAAAATGCTGTTGTATTCAATTCGGCCCGTAAATTCTCCCATATTATTAAATTCCTTCTGGAAAAAGTGAATCTTGCAGTTTACGGCCTCATTGCCTCTCCAAGCAAGTTCATATGAGCAGAGGTGAAAAAACTTTTTTTGTGCTCCATCGGGGGTTTCTTCGTCGTAGCTTTGGATCATTTTTAAAAGTTCTTCGGTGGATAATGCTTTTGAACTAAGTTTTCTTTTTTCTGGACAACTTTGAAGCTGCCTTCGCTTGGTATCTCTGGGCAATCTTGAACATTTGAAAGATATATCCGTGAAAGGATCGATTTTTATGCCGTATTCCGTAAAATATTTTTCTTGTACCATTTTTGCAGTTGAATTCCACATAGACTTTACAGACTACTCTTTATAGTCTTCGCCATTGCATTTTTTCATATTTAAGGCGTAATCTTCCAGAATTTTTGCTAGTTCCGTCGCGGTAGTACATTTTTCCAGTGTAAAATTTCTCACCCGTAGGAATTCTGAGAATTGGGTCCAAATAGAGCTTCTGGACTTCAGTATTTAATGGGATATTTTCTGAAACCAATTTTTTTATTTGTTCATCTGAATGGCACCCAAATCGTGAATTTGCGCGTGGATTCATTATTTCACAATGACGTTTGTCAAACTGGCAACAACAGAAGTATAAAACACCTTGGTGACGGATTTGTAATATTATCACCCATAATATAACAAGTGGTATGATTATCATCGATGATATTTTCGAATTGAAACCGAGCTGCATATTTCACGAGTCCGCAGGACGAGTAAAATGTGCTGCTTCGGTTTTAATGAGTAAATATCATCGATAATTAATCATACCACGATTTATATTTAGTGAGAAGTTTGACATTTGAAATTAAAATGTGCTTTAAAATATAAAAAGACTTTAATAAACCTTATTTATTCAAACTTACCTTAATTTTATTATCGTTTACACCAACCCATCGATCTTTTAGAGTTTATAATTCATTATTTTAATCATTTAACGTGTAAACAAGATGATAAAAAATATTGCCGCTGTGATAAAATGCGTAACCAGCAGCTGAGGAACGACTACCACTCTTGGGTGGCATCTGATATTTGGTCAAATAAAATTGAGCTATTTCTCTGCGGAACTAAAGTTGGAAGATTTTAGGTCCTGTGCTTTTTGCCAGTATCCATGCATTTTGCGTGTTTAGCGCATGCGCATTTCGGTATCTAGTAGATACCGAAATAAACATGCTTTTTTCGATATTCCCACAACATTCTAGTAATATTCAATTGGCCCATTTTATACACCGTAGAACAAGTCTATTTTAATATTTATCAATTGTTCGTTGTAAACTATCAATTTGAGAAAAACCAAAATAAATTAAAAAAAAAAAAAAATGTACTTGGACTTTTTACCGATTTACTTATAATAAATAGACCAAATAAAAATTAAACAATTGAATATTAGTAGAATATTGTAGGAATAATATTCCTGGAATATACCAAAAAACATACGATCGTATACCAAAATGAATAAGATGAGCAGTTACATTATTTATGTGCCTGGAATATACTAAAATGAATCATCCATGAATGTAATGTATCTCGCTTATCATTAGAAATACCTACAAGTTGCATGAATTAAGAAAAAGCTCGTCAGGGGAGGCAAGGGAAGATTAGCCTCCTCAAAAGTTTTAACAATTTTACTTATTTTATTTAAATATGTTTTATATTTCTAAATGGCTATTTCATGAAAATATAATTCAATTTCCAATCATAATTATTATTACAATGATATCTTTTTGAAAATCGCTGCGCGCGTTAAACCGCTAGAGTATTTAACGAGAGACATCCGAATAAAAACGTTCCAACGCGTTGGGCATATGTATGTGATGAAATTAGTGCATAAGTTTCAAGGAACCGGGAAGAAATGTCCAACAAAGTACTATACCAAGGATTCCGGATGACGCTTGCCAAAGTAATGGGTCATTTCGCAGCGGATCCAAATTTATCCATTCCAAAAGTCGCCAGGCTGACTAATAGTTCTATTGGTTTTATGATTTTGAAAAAGAATAGGTTTTTTTCCGTGCAAATTACAAATTCTTCAAGAACTTGGCGACGATGATTATAATAAAAGAATTGAATTTTGCGAAGGAATATGTCGGAGAATTGATAAGGACGCTAATTTCATAGAAAAATCTGTTTTTCTGATTAATCGACTTTTTTAGATTGGTTAATAAACACAATTGTAGATATTGGGATAATAAAAATCCACATCAATTTATAGAAGGCCATACTCAATTTCCGCCCAAAGTTAACATTTGGACGGGAATTTTGGGAAAAGAAATTATAGGCCCCATTTTTTTAAAGAAATTTTAACTGGACGGTGCAATAGAATGGCCAGCAAGGTCTCCTGATTTGACTCCCCTGGACTTTTTCTTCTGGGGTTATTTGAAAACTGTATTATTGACTATTGTTTATCGAATAACGGCGAACATGAAATGCATTTAGAATAATTTGTAAAGTAAACTTTTTAAAAATAATACATTTCTCAAAGAAAAAACAAAAAAAATTTGATAGAAAAAAGTCATGAAATTAAAATATCGAAAATTGGGAAAACGGTCAATTGATATTTCGTCGATTAATAATTTCTGTCTTATTATGACACATTTTCTCTTCCAAATCGTGAACCGACAATCCGATTTACTGTTTTCATACACCATTAGATAGAGAATTGTATGCCCTTTAAAACGAGCTATCACTTGATGCCATTTGAAATTCTAAAGGCTGGGGCCGAGTGGATGAGCTCTAGAATAAATTAAATAATGTGATAGAAGTTCCCCCCTCATATAATTCGACAATTTAAATTCATTAATATTTGACATTTGACGAATTTAACCTCACTTGCGCAATTTATAATATAATTTATTAAACTCAGTTTCAAACTGTCTTTCATCCATAAGAGCTTTTGATATACCCATTTTTTTTCTGGTTCACGAACTTTTTGTAAATTTTTTTGCCAGGCTTGGTCTACATGCCAGGAAAACAATATACGTTTCGCAGGTTTCCCCATTTCTTTTTCCCAGGGACAGTAGCGTAACTACCACCGGTCCTACCGGTTTCAGAGACCGTGGCCCCGAGCACCAGGGGGGCCCCAGAAGTGGCAAGAGAATTTATTTTTATCTAAATATAAGAAAAATGATCAATATGAAAAAATAAAAATTTTGTTTTTTTGTAGCAATACATATTCGTTGCCTGCTTGATATTATATTTCTATTGTGTTCTTTTTTTTTAAATTTTTAGTTTATATACATATGGCTATGTGAAAAGAAATTCTTACTATGAAGGTGAAGCACCCAATAAAAGCTTTGAAGCTACATTTTAACGCTTTCTTTTTGACATTTATTGTTAAAATAATCTGGCTGGTACAGTATCTATCAAGCTTACATGACTCTTTTCCCACCGTTTACGTTTGTCATTTTCTTTATTTTTAGTTGTACTCCGTTTGACACCTACACAAGCAAAATAAAATGGAGATAAGTAAATTAGACTTTAAATAGGAATTATTAGCTATTAAATGTTTTTCTAAATATTGTAAAATTATACAGCATGAAACCACCTTATGCAATCAAAATATACTTTTTCAATCCATCACCATCAAAAGCATTTCTTTACACCAGTCCCTTTTTCATAACTTACATTAAACGTTTCTTCTTAATTTTTTAACCAAACCATAAAATCTTTAAAATAGCTGAATTTAGAATTTCAATTTTACAAGAGCATACTTTATAATTAACCTGCATAATATTATGTTAAAAAAGAGCCCTTTTAGACACTATTTTCGAAGGAATGTTTTTCTTGTAAATGGTCCCTCAATAGCGATTTTTTTAAAAGATGATTTGCATTCCTGCAAAAACTTAAAAAGGCAACAATTTTTATCATATGCTACCTATTGCACAGTTTTTTCATGTACGATTGTGGTGTGTTTATTTAAATTTGATTGCTTAGAAAAAAACAGCATGACTTTAAACAAGTATTAATGGGGATTATTCTAAGAACTTGATACCAAAAGCCAAAACGTTATTTTTTTAATATTCTTTATTTTTTAAACATACATTGGATAAATAATGCATACAAACAATTATTGTCGATGTAGGCTTAGACATAACTATTGTAAAAGAAAACTACCCTCTCTCATTTCTGTACACCTATACACATACTTAAAAATGAGGCTCTTTGGTTAAAAATGTTTAAACTTTATACAACTTCCTTTTACAATAGGCAGTGACAATTCCAAACCTTTGCGGATATGTTTATAATTTCGCAGTTTTTGCTTTTCCAACAACCATTAGTAGCTTTTGCAGGAACGTCGTGACGTCGTTGAGGCCTTTGACAAACCATTGGGGTTTATTTTTCCAGTGGATAAACGCGAAGTAGACTGGGATCGAGGAGAGGATCATAAGGAAGCCGAATCCGGTTTCAACTGGACTGGCCACCATTGGTACGACGGTCACGAAGACGGTGCAAAGTAAGTAAAGGATGGGCCAGAATAGGTTGACCCTGATGGGTCTTTCCAGGTCTGGTTGTTTCCATCTGAGCCACGGAAGGCAGAACACAGCAACTCCTATACTTAACTGCAATGGAATTAATATTAGTTATTTAATTTGGAGAGTAGCAGTTTTACGTACCCAAGTGGCAAATCCAACGTAGTTTATTAATGCATCAATATCAGATACTGTTAGGTATAACATGGAGAGGAAGGCCTAAAAGAAGAAAGTAAAATATTCTACTTAAAAGTTATTTTTTCGCTAGGGAACTAAATTAATAGTTCCCTTCTTAACAACAAACAACATTTATTTGGTGCAGAGTTTTTTGAAACAAAACAAGGCTAAAGATATTATCATACGACCCAATGCCCCAATTTTAAAAATCAATATGCTGCAACTGCAGAAAATGTAAATTTAAAGTAACAAATCAAAATAAATCGTTTTTAAGTAATGGTAATAATGGTAACAAAAATCAGAAAAAACGTATTTTGTATTAGGTTCGTACATATACATCACTGTTTCACTGAAGGGTCTACAATTTTCACTTTAGTGGCACTAAAAACTATCGACACATATAAAATAAGGATAACTTCCTAAAAACATAATATTCTATCTACTAATATTAAAATCAAACCTGCTTCTTACCGCGTTTTGTGTGTATTTTTGTAGTTTTTAGAAAAAGGCTATATATTAAAATTCTGTGTTATTTTGTTTTATTAATCGGTATCAAAAAACATAATTCTCAACTGTTAACAGATAACTAGGCTAAATATTAACATTTCATTATAATTTATTAATATAAAATAATTATTACAGGGTGAGTTTTTTAAAGTGTTACAAGGCAATATCTTGAAATCGGTTCAATATTTTTTGTCAAATTTTAATGAAGTGATGGGGACACGGGGAAACATATTTAGACATATTTTTGAAATTTGGATTTTTTAATAGAACGATATACTTTTTTTATAAAATTCAAATCTACGTAAAAAAACTACGTATTTGTGCCAAAAAAAACTTGATTTGCTCTTTTGGTTACGGAGTTATGATTTATTATGTTAAAATACTAAAATATAATTTCAATGTTTTTATCAATTATGTTAAGCTGCACGTTGTTGTTTATTTCCATGAAAAAGCCTTATTTTAATCTAAGTTAGTCGAGAATTTTGACATTTTGCCGATTAATTCTCAATTTATTATTCAGTTAAACATGGTAGGTAAGTAATTTTAATTATTATTTATTAAATTACACAAAAAGTATTAATTAGAACTTTTTTTTTGCTTATTTAAGAAATTGTACAAAATCTCGGCCTTGAAGTTCTAAGCACTTTCTCACTCTTTTTTTTAAATGAGTTCCGTACATTCTGCAACATTTCAGGTGTTACATTAGAGCAGGCAACGCGGATTCTGTCCTTCATGTCCTCTTATGTAGGCGCAATTGCTATCACTTTGTCCTTGATAAAACCCCAAAGGAAATAATCCAGAGGGGTCAAATCAGGCGACTTAGCAGGCCAATTGACCGGATCAGCTCGACCAATCCACCTATTTTGAAAAAATTCATTCAAATAGGTTCGGGCCTCAATAGGATAATGGGGTGGAGCTCCATCCTGCTGAAACCACATGTCCTGGTTTTAAGTCCTGGTTTAATAATTGCGGTAAATGGTTTCTAAAAAAACCGTGTATATTTCTCCATTTAAGTGCCCTTCAAAGAAATGCGGACCAATAACTCTATCCTCCATTATTGCACACCATGGGTGTTGATTTGGCCGAATTCTTACCCAGTGGGAATTTTTCCCAGCCCAGTAGTGCATATTGTCTCTATTTGCCTTTAAGTAAGAACCAAAACAATTAAAGAAATTAAATTTTTACTGATACGGGATCCTCTTGCACTTGTCGGGTGATCCAATTGCAAAATGCAACGCGTTTAATGCATTTAAAAAATTGTGGGCAAATGTTTTTCTTCTGCTAATAATAATGTTTTTTTATGCAGAACAAGAGAAAGGGATTTGGGAACATAAATAAACAATTGGGTATTTCTAAAACGCTAAAAATACACATAATTTTAAATCACTTACATGAAACAGTTGCGTTTCTTGGATTCGGGCTGGGACTTTGGTCGGAGCCAAAGAGAAGCATTTTTCTTGACATTGTTTTTTTTTTATTTTTACAGTAACAATTAGTTGGTTATGCTGTATATAGAATAATTATTTATATTATTATATTGTTATGAAATGTTATTATTTAGCCGGTTGAGAATTATGATGTTTATTGATACTGATTAATAAAACAAAATAACACCGAATTTTCTTATTAATATATAGCCTTTTTCTAAAAACTAAAAAATCACAAAAAAATCTCGGAAAGCTTTTTTCTAAAAACTACAAAAACATAGCAAAATCTCTGGAAGAAGCAGGTTTGATTTTAATATTAGTAGAAATGTTTTTAGGAAGGTGTCCTTATTTAAAATGTCTCAATAATTTTTGGTGCCACTAAAGTGACACATGGGGACACCTCAGTAACACCGTGACATTAATATATACCCTTATATTAAAAATTCTTCCAAATAACAAAAAATAAGAACTTGCGAACTATTAATTAGATTTGAACAAAGTTAAATGTTTTTTGTTAATTTTTTTATGACAACAATGCAACATATAATTTCTTATGATTTTGCTGCAAAAAACATTTATTTATTGACACTTTATTAAATTTTCACCCAAATCTAATTAAACGTTCGTAAGTAATTTTTTTTTTATTTAGGACAACATTTTTCTAATATAAACTGTATAAAAGCGAAGTGAATTTTTAATACAATATTTGTGGAATATTATAAGGTTACCCAGTAGGTAATGTAAAATAAGTTTTTACAAATTTGTGTCACTATGGTGAAAACCCCATGCTCAATTCACGAATTTTGACCAATTCATAAAAAACCTTATTTATTTAACTTCTACAATTATTGACTTATCTTACCATTGCTAATACCGAAGGTGCAGGCGTCAATCTCTGAGCTTGTATCATGGTCAACAATTCGGGCATTTGTCCATTTAAAGCTCCAGAATAAAACAATCTAGAAGATGTGAGTAGGATTCCATTGACTGCGCCAAACGTGGATAAAGCAACGAAAACAGGAATGACCCAGGCAAATGGGCCAAACAACCTGTTGGCGAACGTTACGGCAACGGCCTTGGATCCCAAAATTTCAACTGGCGAAAGGGTGGTGTAAAATGCCACGTTTGTAAGGACGTAGACTATTGTGACCAGAGTGCAGGATATTGCGATGGCCAATGGCAAATTTCTAAAACAAATATTTATATTTTTTGTAATACATTGGTTTAATGTACCACCTTACGGGATCTTTCAGTTCCTCAATGATAAAGTTTAGGTAATTCCTGAAAAAAACACACACAATTCAACAAAAAACTATTTTTATATTAATTATCAAGCTATGATACTTATAGTTATAACTTTTGTAAGGTTTAGCTAACGCGTTTGATGAGTTAAGGTATTAAATTTATACTAGGAATTAGATAAATTAATTTTTTTTTACAAAGTATAAATTTAAAACTTTAATGCAATGAAACATCCAGATGAATTAAGCTTAAAATATACATAATTTGCGACCTTTGATTTGGCAAAACACAAAAGATTTACGAAAAGTTTTAGATAGTTAGTTTTTAAGTAAAGAAAATAAATTAGATGAGTTTTAGTACTGATTTATAGCAAGTAGAAAAAATTTTAAAAAAATATTTGTATAAAATTTGTAATTCTTTAGTTTTTTGTTTTTAAAGTATTTTCGTAAAAAATAACAAGGTCCGTGAAATTAGAGAAAAGTTGAGGGATTACAAGCCTGTTAAAATAAAATTTATAAATTGAAACCGATTTTTTAAAATTTATAAATGCCATTTTAATAGACTTGTAATTCCCATGCATGGAAAAACAAAGGGCCCAAGATTGGCCCAGACTTGGCCCAATTCTACACTACTCGGGCCCAAGCTTTAAAGCCCGACTGAGCCAATATTGGGTGAGTCTGGCATAGTATATTGGGCCAAGACTGGTAATAAACCTCTGGGTCAGAGATTTGGAAGCCAATACTCGGTTTTTAAAGCCTGCCCACTGAACATTTTGGATGTGGTGATGTCACAGTGACGTTTAAAAATTGTCAATTTTAAGGCACATTAACTACGTTTTTTAGTGATGTTCAATTTACGTAAAAATTACGATAAAAAATAAAAGGTACTGTCGAGCACGTCACTATACCGTCCAGTCTATGCCTTTTATTTTACTTTAGCGTATTAGGTGCAAAACACAACGTACATTTTACGTCACCAATGTGACACATGATAAATATGAATGGGGTAGGTTTGCCAATGATGAACATTGAAATACAATATTTACATTTTTTGAGTGTATACTTATGTTCTGTGGTGTATACCTTAGATAATTAGGTAAATACCGAATTTAATTCATAATTTTAGATTAAACCGAAGGTACTTACTTAGAAACCAATGTAAGTAGGTACAATTATTATTTTAATGACTTAATATAAATCCCAGAGTGATTTATTAATTAATATTACCGCTTATAGAATAATAATTATTCTATTATTATTGCAACGTGAGATTAGGAAACGTATATTTTATGTAAAATTTACGTAAAAAAGGACTCGGGTAATTTCGTTTCCAGTCGATATATCGGTATAAAAGAGGCCCTGTAACAGTGCATCCTTTCCTTTTTCGTGCGTTGCGACTGCCATTGTTTTGTGTTCAACACAATTTTCTATGGTGTTGCCATTTGTTGTTGTGGTTTAGGGCTGTGTGATAGAAAACGCATTGTCCTCCATAGGCAAAACTTAGGTAAGTTGGCTTTATCATTTGTTTGCAACCATACGGTTATAATATAATTAATTAATTGTCCCAATATCGCCATTATGGCGCTATTAGTGATTATTTTGTTGATTTAAATGTTAGCTTTGAGTGAGAAGTTATATTAATCAATGTTAGACTTAAAGTCTGTACTATTACGTACTTAATCAATTTGTTTTTGCAGTTAATACACCAATCAATGAACATGGAAGACAAATTTTGCGCCGAGCGACAGGTAAGTTAATAACAAAGTTAGGTTAATGTTAATCGATTTCGCTGAAATTTATTTTGATGCCGGGAACGGCAAAAAATATATACAAGGTGTCCCTAAACTTAGTGGCATAAATTTAGGAGCAAATTAAGCAAGTCAAAATAATACGAAAATCTAAATAAATATTTTTCCTAATTACGTATGTTTAAAAGATACAGGGTGATAAAGTGTTACTTATCATATCAGTTTTTTAATATAACTTCTACTATATGGTAGTCTTGGAAAGGTGATATTTTGCGAACAGTCACTTACTACCAAAACACATATTCACACATAATTACAATTGTTTGAGTGAACACAGGGTCGTAGAAACGGGGGTTGCTTTAAGCTTATTGTCCCATACAAACTTTGAGGTTAGGTTTTTATAATATCCTGCAAACATAAGTAATTATGAAAAATATTTCTTTAGATTTTCGTCTTATTTTTACTTGCTCAATCTTTTCCTAAATTTATGCCAATAAGTTTAGGACACCTTGTATTATACAAGTTGTATATAATAAATTTATTAATAGAAATTAAAAATTCGAATTTTTAAACAAAAGTTAGTATCTGGCGTATTCTTTTGATTCTCAATAACTTTTCCTAATAATTTTAAAAATTACTTTTTGTTATAACTCGATATGAACTATATATGAACATGACTCATGTTCTTGATTGTAGCAGGCCAGGCTAATAACGCCTTTTGCGCTCAACTAATAAAACATTCAAGTAGATTTATACAGAAACAAAGAAAATACAGTGGTGCTTCCATGTAAAGTTAAACACACTGTAGAAGAACACAGTATAAGAATAACAACAAATATAAAGCCCCTGGTTTAAAGCATAAAGGGGCAATTCATGACGCTGGAGGGGGGGTTTGAAGACAGTCACTATGTTTCACGCCCGAGGGGGGTAGGATTAAATAAAACGTCACTTGACAAAGTAAATTTTTAGTCAGATTATTACTAAAGAGTTCAATAATACGTCACATGACCATTTGGGGGGTTCTTTACATGCATGTAAAAAACCCCAAATGGTCATGTGACCATGGTCATATTCTGTCACGAGGGAGGGGGAGGGTGTCAGTTTTGAACATTTAAACATCATAAGCGTCACGAGATTTATGGAGGGCCCCAAAGCATAAAATAAGAATAAGAAATTCTCTATTCAAATTACGGTTTTATTTAAATTCTATCAATAGATTGGTGCATTTCTAACGTAACAAACATATTTTTAGGTAAAAATGAGGAAAGATTTGCACAAAATTTCAAAAAGACAAATGCGCCGGCGTGTGAATGTGGATTTTAAGTCGCTAAAAAGTTTGCTAAGTAATGTCAAAGTTAACGATGCTTTAAAACAAGACGGAAAAATAATCAATGAGACTAATATTGTTGAAAATGCGATTAGTTTTAATAGTTCGCGTTCTAGAATAGATGAAGTAGTTGGCGGAAATACTGTTTTAACTAAAAGCGAAAAATTAAAAGTCGACAATGGTGTCAGTGAAACACACAATGATGCACATATTGATCCTAATATTTTACCACAAATGAACTCATCCATTGAATCTGAGATCAGAGGTTGGGCGATTAAATATAATGTAACAACTCACTGTTTAAATGCTCTATTGGGAATTTTAAGAAATCATATTGTTGGGAGTTCTTTACCAAAAGACTGTAGAACTCTTATGCTTACTCCAAAATTAAGTGGTATTTTAAAAATGGATCCGGGTTTATACAAACATTTCGGAATAGAAAAGGCGATAAGATGTTTATTCTTAAAGAACAACATTGTAGAATTTCACAATAATGTGGTAGAAATTGGTTTAAATATTGATGGTTTACCAATATCTAATAGCTCAAAAAGTCAGTTCTGGCCAATTTTAATTACAATAAGAAACCTTCCAAATAAAGCCCACTCACAAGTTTTTCCGGTGGGTATATACTATGGTACAGGAAAGCCAAAATCACTTCAAGACTTTATGCAACCGTTTATTAATGATATAGAGAATTTAAAAAATAATGGGTTACACATATGTAATAAAAATTTGGCTGTACAAGTTGTCAATATTATATGTGACGCACCAGCAAAGGCTTATCTTTTAAACGTAAAGGCACACAATGGCTACCACGGGTGCAATTATTGCACTGATGAGGGCGATTTTATTAACAGAAGGATGGTATTTTTGCAAAGAAATGCGGTTTTAAGAACGGATGAGTCGTTTAGATTAAGGTCGGATGAAGAATATCATCGTGATGGTCCAAGTCCACTTGAGCAAATTGGTATTGGGTTAGTTAGTTCTGTACCTTTAGATTACATGCACCTAATTTGTATTGGTGTAATAAAGCGCTTAATAATATTTTGGGTGAAAGGTCCAAGAGATCTAAGACTTTCGGTGGAAGCTATGAGCAGTATGAATTCTAATATTCGTAATATACGAGAGTATATACCAGAAGAATTTTCAAGACTGCCAAGACCTTTGGAGGAAATAGATTATTGGAAGGCAACTGAATTGAGGCTTTTTGTACTGTATACTGGAGCATTAGTCCTAAGAGGCCACTTACCAAGAATATATTACAATCATTTTCTACTTCTGCATTGTGCTTCAAAAATTTTAGTTTCGGTTGACACTTACCTAACCTCAAATGATTTAGCAAAAAAGTTATTAAATAAGTTCGTGCAACAATATGCTGAGTTATACGGCAGCGAATTTGTGACTCACAACGTTCACAATTTAATTCACATAAGTGATCATACAAAAGTACATGGAACTCTTGACGAATTTAGCGCATTTCCGTATGAAAATTATTTGCAACATCTAAAAAAATTGTTTAGAAAAAGTCCTAATGCTTTACAACAAGTTTGTAATAGGTTAGAAGAAGAGATAAGCTTTTTGGGAGAACAACGGAAAGAAGCATTTAACTACAGCTCGCCTATCCTTACTGGAGAAATAGAAAATTGTTCTGATAAATATAAAATATACAAAACTTTACGAGTCGAAGATCTGCTCATTAAAATAAATGGAAAAGATAATTACTTAATGTTAAAAAGCAACAAGTTTGTAGAAGTGCAGAGTATTGTTAAAAAGGAACAATTTATAATATTGGTTGTTAAAAGCTTCTTAAAAATTTCTCCTCTATATGTTAATCCGTGTGAATCATCAATACTAACTGAGGTTTTGGCAGAGCATTATTTTTCTGAACCTTTCGAGGTGAAATATTCAGAGGTGAAATTTAAATGTATGTACATACCTGTTGCGAGCAATAATAAAGCTGCTTTA